ACAATGAAGGAATGAACGAACGAACGAACGAACGAATGAATGAATGAATGAAGTACATACGAAGTAGTTGAAAAACACCCCTCCCGCTCCCAAAAAAGTAGTCTGTTTTATTCAGATAAACAATTTACTTGATTTCCTTTTATAGAATAAGTAATATATGTGGTTAGTTTAAGGAGCAAGCAAGCGAGCGAGAGAGAGAGAGAGGAACAGAAAGTAATTACAATGATTTATAGTTATATAGTGCAATGAATAATCAATAAGCTTTATGTAGTCAGTCAGAATGAATATAGTGACTAGTATAAATGTACCTTTGGTATAATGTAATTAATTACAATATGATGAAACTAGAAAGATGTATGAATAATAAACTAGCCGTAATAATACAATACACAATCTTAAATAGAAAGAATAAATGATGGGAATATAGATTGAAAAAGTATCTATGAAAGAATATTAGAATTCTAGTTCTAGATTAAACTAGACAGATTATAAGCCCTTAAATGCCCTAGTACGTTCGCTCTCTTTCTCGAAATCCTCATGCATGGCTACGCATATACAGACACTGACAGGGAATTGCTAATCATTGCCTTTTAGCTGAGAGGATGTTTACGAAATTAAGAGGATGAAAAGCGAATATCTAGTGCATAAACCGGATTGATGGATACAGAGCATCTATCTAAGGAGTTGGAAAACCCTCATTCTAAACCAGTGGTGTAAATGGTCTCCAGGATCCTGAAGAAACAAATCATGTGTCAACCTACTATTGGTTACCGGCTACGATGGGCCTACATCTCCTAAGTTTGTTCCACTGCCTTGTTGATTAGACCTTTGATGAAAGGCTTAGGGAGTGGCCCACCAAGGAAGTCACCTGTTTCGGTTTGGGTACCCGGACAGTTTTCCAGCCGTTACTTAAATCGAATAACGAAGTGTGACAGCACTATGAAATTCTAGTAGGAATCAACAATGGAAGGCATTTGTTATGTTCGCTACTTGATTAACACAGAATATGGTATATAACTACGGCATTCGAACGTTTAGAACTCCCACAGTCTCAAAACCAGAAGACAGAAGAAAACTGGAGAAGTGTTTGTTGGGTAACAATCAAGATGTGTAGAAAATCGTGGGTATTTATAATATTAGGGTTTGTTATAACATCATTATAATTTAGCCAATCCGTAGAGAGGCAAGTTATGCTACTGTCCAATCGTAGCGTGCCACGTTGATATTCTAGAAAACCCTATCAGGTTCTGATTAGATAGAAACTCTTCGGCTCCTTTAAGGCCTCTGGAGGCTCCGTCGTAATTCTTGGAAGCTGTCCTACCAGTATTTACATTAGTATATTGTGTTATATATTTTACATTGTTGAATATGTCTATCTTTGTTTATTAACCAGTCAAGTCTTGTTTTAACCGACAATATCATAAAAATTATTTGGATATTGTAATGGTCATTTGTCTGTTTTAACCATCTCTAATTGAATATATATATCAACTTCTAATGGTCAAATTCATTTTGTGTTGTTTTACTTGTATCTTCCAATTGTTATTTAGAACTGCAGTTGATCAGTCTCATATTGGCATATGTGGATCCTGTGCGGATCGCCTCGATATAGCCTTAAGTCACAAGCTTTTTAAGCAGATATGGATAGTGGTTAGCAGTGGACGAAATGCGCGTCCTGGATTCCACTTCTAGCCACTATCCATCTTTGCTTAAAAAGCTTCTAATGGTCAGTTTCATGATGAAATACCACTCGTTAATAATAAATGATCATAATATTTTAATGGATTATTTCCTAAGAATTAAAAGAGTAAATTTCTATTACAGTAAACTGCTGTGACATTAAACCCGGCTAATTATCACTTAATTTATTCGCAAATCGGAATACTGCTTATACAATCTTAGCACTGTGCCAAACCAATGACGTTCGACCGGTATGAGTAGCCTAACAATCTCCACAACCCCAGACTGATAATTACTATGCGCTCACTAGTGGCTAGCTTTGTGAAGGAATTCTTGAAGTTCTAGTAATCAGTAGAGTTAATTCGTGTCAGGTAGAGATAAGTATTTGCCTCAGACAATAGAAGATGTTCGCACAAATTTCTGGATTGGTTAATGTTAAACATTAACATCTATGAATGCCGGTCGGCTCAGTGGTCTAGAGATTGAGCGTTCGCGCGCGAGACTGGAGGTTCTGAGTTCGAATCTTGCGCGGTGGGATCGTCGATGCGCACTACTGAGGAGTCCCATACCGAGACAAATCAGGCATCCATTGTGGTCTCAGATTGATCGATTGATGATCTCAATCAAAAAATTAACAATCTCCACAACCTCACACCGATACTTCTTAATTGACAATCAAATAAGAAGGCAAACAGCGCTAAGGTTAAACTAATTCAGTGTGGTGAACATTCTCAGATCAATCAAAATATAAGTATCACCGCTAATCTGACCTCATACCCTAGATGAACAATTGGAGTATCATTGAAAACTAAAGAGCACAGAACGACTTTTTCGTGTGTATGTGATTCCCTTACACGGTCCGTACCCACGACACTAGTAGAGTGTGTGAATCGCTCGATATTCAGAATTGATTGCAGACCTCGCAGTAAGGTCTGAAACTTCTTGGTTTAATCCCTGTTGGGATGATGTAATGTCACTGCTTAGGAGTTGAATACCAAGATAAAACAGCTACTCAGTGCTCCATGGTTTTATTGATACCCTAACTGAGATCAGTCCGTGATGAATATTACTTAGTAATTTTTTGTGTGTTAAGAACATTATTCTATAACCACATCTTGTTTCATTTGTACTTTTTATTTAATACAAAATGTTCTTTTCAATTATTCAGTTGACATTAGATGATTGGATGTAGTCACATGCAAATCGAATGGATCTAGGTCAGACAATCATCAAAAAGGTATACTTTTAGTCTTGAAGGAAGTAATGCTTCCTGTAAATTCAAACCTACACCATTCACTGTCACAGATATAGTCATTACTAGTGAATAGAGATAGTTCGGATAAGTGTTGTGGTTAGCAAAATATTGAACAGTTAGCATTCACAAAAACTGATTTATACTTGTTTTTTTCTTCTGACCGAAATGAAAATTTGTAGTGAACTATTTCCTACAATTCACTGAAACAAACAATAATGAAAATGAACTCATCAGTACCGAACTCAGGGTTGAATTCTTAACGTTTTTTTTAAATGCAAAGATGGATGGTGGCTAACAGTGGAATTCAGGATGCGCGTTTCATCCTATTTGGGACTCGTCAGCTGGATGTACATTCATCTCAGAGTTGATGATCACTCTGGGGCTCGAAATCAGCACTGATCGTTTCAAATGCCAACGCGTTACCATCTTAGATACTGATTCCTGTTAGCCACATACTTGTGCAATGGAGTGAAGTTTAAATTCACTTGGTATTGTTAACTTGAATCTTCCCGTTGATGTTTAGGACTGCAAATGATCAGTCTCTTATTGACATATGTGCGTATTGTGCGTATTGCCTCGATATTCCCTTAATTCACAAGCATTATAAACAAAGATGACTATCAGAACTCAGTAGTTAAGTTGGTAACGTGGTGGCGTTTGAAGCGAACACTACTGATTTCGAGCCCCAGAGTGATCATTAACCCTGAGATGCAGGTACATTCAGCTGACGAGTCCGAAATAAGTTGAAACGTGAGTCCTGAATTTTACTGCTAACCACTATCCATCTTTGCTTATAATGCTCGTGAATTAAGGCTAATTGAAGCAATGCATACGGTATGTATATATGCCAATAAGAGACTGATCAATTGCAGTACTAAACATCAATAGGAATATTCAAGCAACCAATACCAAGCGAATTTACTTCTTTTGAGATGTTATAACCAAGAAGACGGGAGATGGGGTGGGGTGGGGTGAAGTTAACCACATCTATAGTGAAACAATCATCATCGTTACCAATTAATGTCAATCACTCAAACTAACTGAAATTGGACAGATAGTTACCAAGACGATAATTTTCGGTGTTTCGAACAGTTCTGCATTAGAGCTATACAACTTTTCCTTATTTTTCAAAATGTCTCGTATCTTTAAAGTTACACGATAAAGGAAATCAATTTGTGTAAATCCCTTTTCATTTTCATTAAAAAAAAAAGGGAACAGAAAACTAAATTCAACAAATGACTAGTTTTCACACACAAATATCTAACTATCCCTTCACTATAATTTCACAGTACCTTTTCTCTTTTCTTTTTTTCTTTTTTTGCATAATCAATATGAATATACAGACACACCTACACACCTACACACACACACAAACACACTAAGGAATTCACTCAACTTCATGTTATTTCAATAGTTTCAAATTAAAGTGCCAACATTCATTGAAGAATAATTCACTTGATATTATTGTCTTTTACTTGAATCTTCCCATTGATATCTTAGGACTGAAATTGATCAGTCTCTTATTGGTATATATACATACTGTGCGTATTACCTCGATATTGCCTTAATTCACAAACATTATTATTCAAAGATGGATAGTGGTTAGCAGTGAAGACTATTCAACATGACATACTGTTATATTCAATTGAACATTTCGATTTCATACAATAATGAAAAGGAAAAAGAAGAAGAAGAAGAAGTTAAAATAGTATCCAACGTACACATTTTATTGATTCATCTTTTGTATGTACGTGCATATGTGTGTGTGTGTGCGTGTATGTGGGAATTAAGGGCATGTGTGCGTACATGCATGTATTAATTTTCTTGAATATTAAATTTTAGGGGAAGATATGCGTAGGTGGTAACTATTACTTTTCATTCAATTGGTTTCTATCTATATCCTTTTTCATTATGGATAATCTTTATAAATACTTGAATATATATATATATATATATATATATATATATATATATATATATATATATATATATATTCGATTCATCTTCAAAGTTTCACAGTTCATTTAAACACAGTTACAACAACACCAGCAACAACAACAACAGAATGACAACTGATTTACCTAAAGTAACTGGTAGTCCAATATGGTTACGTAAAATGCGTACATTATTTCGTCGTCTTGATTCATGTGGACATGGTTATTTAATGATTGATGATTTATTAGATATTGGTACAACAATATTTAATATTTATCCTAAAATGTTATCATATAAATATGATGAATTAGTGAAAACATTAGTTTATTTATGGTATCAAGTATTATGTACTCATGTATCTAGGCAATTAGCAACTACAATCAATATTAATGAAAATACATTTATTGATAATTTATTAAAAGCATTTCATAATAATTTTGATCAATATTTTAATGAAAAATTTATTTTACCATTATTTGTTGCTATGGATCAAGATGATGATAATTATATAACAAGTACAGAATTTCAAACATTATTAATTGCATGGAAATCAATACCAAAAGATTGTGAATTAATATTTCGTTACTATAGTGATAAAAATAATAAATTAAATAAAGAAAATTTTCAAAAAATTTTTATTGATTATTTTATGTCAGATAATATAAATAGTAATATAATAAAATTATGGGGACCATTAATTAATTATAAACGTGCTGAAGATTATGGTCCAATTGATTGTGGTCCTGTATGGGAAGGTAAAATACGTACTATGTATAGACGTTTAGATATAAATGAAACAATGAAATTAAAATGTCATGATTTATTACAAATTGGACAATTTTTAATACAACGTGCACATTTAGATAGACGACGTGCTGATGCTGTAATGCGGGCTATGTTAAATATATGGGTGAAATTTTTGGCTATAGATAAAAATGGTAAGTAGATATTGATTTTTGGTGTTGTTGTTGTGCGTTTTTAAATTTGATCTCTGATCAATATGTTATATTATTGATTGAACAATCGTCCTAGATACAAATGAACTAACGGATTTGGATAATATGGGTTCGATTATACCAGTTGGTTGGTAACTATATGAAGTTTAAAAACATCGGTTCTTGTCTAATCACGTTGGGTTCGGTCAGTACTTGCCCCCCTTAAATAGCCTAGTACGACTGAGAGTGAAGAGAGTCAGCTCTCCTTCTTGAAATACTCTCATATGTCTATGCGTATACGGGAAGTGATAAAGAAATCTTACTCACTACCTTCTTGTGGAACTCCGCCTGGAGTCCCTCCGTGGGTTACTGCCAGTCCTAAACCCGGATAAAGGAGGAGGGTTGGGGATGGGGTTAGCGACCCCATCCCGTAGAAAACAACTTTGTTAAAAAAAACTCTGCCCTGGGAGTTAGAAGGTCTTCATTTAGAAGAACTATGACGCCTCATGATGAAAACCGAGTTCCTTCGGAAGTTACGAGGTCGATGCTCTTTCTGACAACCAGAACAACCATTTATTTAGGTACATGGAATGTTTGTACAATGGGGGAGACCGAGAGAGTCTTCCAAATTGCTGCAGAAATGAGGAGATACAACCTTCTTGTGGCCAGATGGTTGTTTATGAAAATGAGAGGATGAAAAGTGAATGTCCGACGCTTTAATTGGGTTGATGTATATGGAGGATTCATCTAGAGGAGTTGGAAAAGCCTCATTCTAAACCAATGGTGCGCATGGGCTCCAAGATCCTGAAGGAACAAATGGTGTATGAACCAATTGTTAGTCACTGGCTACTATGGTACTGCATCTCCTTACGTTATTCCACTACCTTGTGGATCAGACCTTTAGGTGAAAGGCTTTGCGGTGTGAGCCTTAAGAATACCACCTGTTTCGCTTTGGGTACCCAGATAGTATCACAGCCCACATACAAATCAAGTGACTTGTATAGCGCATATGTATTCGGTGCCCCTTTGTACAAATATATTTATCTCTTCAAATAAATACATAAATAAAAATGTAAATTATGCTGTGAGATCTGAACAACTTGGGTTCGATTTCTGAAGGAGTACAGGATATAGAAAAGTTTTACACTAGAACAAAAGAGCTATCCAAGGAAACAATAATTATTACGGATACTAATGACGTTTTATATGTTAAGTCTTTGGAATACACCAATCTTTGGCATTATTATTATTATTATTATTATTATTATTATTATTATTATTTGCACACCTTACTTCTATATGGTTTCAGATTATCTAATACTTACTAGTTTCCCCAAGACAACTTATGCTGGTATTTTCTTATTTGAGATACTACTGAAATACAGGGGTCAATGGATAGCCTCTTTCATTCTTGTATGAGTTCTTGAAGTCATGGTTCATCAGCTGATGACTTGAGAATGGTTCCTAGATTCGTAATAAGATTGTGACTATGCATTGTAGGTCAGTCTCGTGTTGTAACAAAGCACCTATTCAGTCACTTCTGGTTTTCGATACAGCTTCAATTGTAAAGTATCTGTGCTAAAGATCACCTTCAGAATATAATTTAATATAAATATTTAGCTTTTATTTTACTGATGTCAGTAAATCTCTTAACTACAAATTGTGTTTTAATCCATTTGTTTATTGTTGTTAGTGGTTTGGACAGATTTAAGTTCCCCAGTGGGGAATAATATCTTACTAACGTTAATGTATAGAAGTTCTAACGTCATGTGATATTCAATTTCAACGTTTATTTTATAGTGTTTCATAAGGTTGATAGTGTCAAGAACAAAGGTTTACGTATTTACAACTGATTAATCAGTGGGTGGTGATCGATGTTGTGTGTATCAGGTCCTTCTTAGTGCAGATCGAATCCTGTAGTTCAAGTTGCAATGTGGCCACTAGTCTAGGTGACTTGACATTGCGTATACTATGTTGAGATAAGATCGTAGGTGGAGATGGTCAACAGGAAACCTTAGACCTAGGTTTCATGCTACTTGGCACTCGTCAGAAAGTCGTACCTGTCATCTTGAGGGAACTGATACTGTAGTGAACAAGAACACCAGTCGAATTTATTTAACACAAGCTTACAGGACTTGTTAATAAAATCTAACAATCATAAAGTAAATGGTTAGTTTGCAAAATGTCCACCAATTGTCTCAAAATGACTCAGACTTCACTGTTCTTGCATTTCCATACCAATTGCATCCTGTTCCATTCTTTACTGTTCGATCCTCTTGTCTCTCTGCTGCCAAACCTTCTGTTCACAACTAACATCATATACTACTTATGTCAATATAAGTAGCACACACCACAATACTACCTGACGCATCCGATCCCATATATTAAAAGAATATAAATAATGATTCCCCCAAAATACCTCCCCCCTCAACATTGATCATTTTCAATTATTCATTTAGTCCTAGACTCGAATCCCATGGGCGGGATCGTGGATGCGCACTGCTGAGGAGTTTCATACTAGGATGAAACGGTCGTCCAGTGCCTCCAGGTTTTCCAAGGTCGTCTAGCATCAATTGACTCATGGTTTCAATCAGTGAAAATTACTAAAATCTCCACAAAACCCTCTTTTGATAAACATATTCTTTGAGTATTTGGAAAATATGTAACTCAAACGTTTAAATAAGCTCTAATATTTAAATGTACATACTAATCATTAGAATGATGGGGAAAATTTTAGATCTTAGGTAGTTGGTTTCGGTATTGTTTAGTCCTCTGAGCTCAATGGTTTAATTGTAGAGCATTAATTCTCATTATGAACATTATCCTTATACCCTACTTCATGGTTATTACACAAGAGTTAATTTAGTTCATTCTGGTGGCCATGTTCATGATTAGTTGCCCATATTCGTCTTTGTTCATAACAATAATTGTGAAAATAAAATTTTACTAAACATAATAAAAATGAGGTAAAATAAGTAAAGAAGGAACTAATAATAATAATACGGTTTCACTGGTTGAAATCATGAGTCAACTGAAGCTAGACCACCATGGTAAACCTGGGAGCACTGGACGGTCACTTCGTCCCAGCATGGAACTCCTCAGCAGTGCACATCCACGATCCCGCACCCCGCGAGGTTTGAACCCAGGACCTACCAGTCTCGCACTAGGCGCTTAACCAACTAGACCACTGAGCCGGCATCCAATGGTGTTAATGTCTAACTTCAACCAATCCACGAAGTTGCGCCACCGTACACCATTGTCTTCAGTGAGTTCCTATCTCATAACAGACCTGGTTGAACTCCACTGGTAACGACTTCTCACTAGAACTCCAGGAGTGTCTCCTAAAGTCAGTCACTAGTGAGCAGGTGATTGTTATTATAAGAATGGGTTTTGTGGAGATTTTTAAAAATTTCACTGGTTGAAATCATGAGTCAATTGAAGCTAGACCACCATGGAAAATTTGGAAGCACTGGACCTCAATTTCGTCCTAGTATGGGACTCCTCAGCAGTGTGCAGAGTTCGTTAGTGAATAACGGAATTAATTACAACCAGTGAAATTTCTAAAAATCTCCACAAAACCCATTCTGATAATAATAATACGGTTGTTGAGACTTCAATTACTCATTATGAAGGTAGATACAGAATTATAGTTGAGAAGAAAAGGTTCAGTATGACAAGATTAGTGGACGAGTTGTACCTTAATCGATAGAATACAACCAATAATAAAGGATTGGATAATCATTGTATTGATTACTGCCCAGTGACTAATAAATGTGAATATCTCAGCTCTACAGTTGGTTGTTCATGGTACGAACAGCTTAGTAATAGTATCCCAAGCTAAGAGTCTAAGTATCTCAGGTTCGATTGTACACACTAATAAGAAATACCCAGAGTTATAACAAATTACATGCTGTGTGTCATGTTGAGCATAGTTCATGTTCATTTAATACAAGAATATTGAATCATGAACAGACATCAAACTCAAATAAATTAATGTTTTAACGGATAAGGACCAAAACATGCCACAAATCCATGAAGTCACTGACAAGTAGACTGAGCCATGTTGGTAGGTGTAAACTATCTGGTTGGGATCCGCGGGTTGATAGCAACCGATGGTTAGAGACGTTGAATGACATGGCTCAAAATCGTTTGCAGTGGTACAGGTGCATCCGCTCTTTGTGTTCTCCCGAATTATAATCTCAGTTATTTATATTCCATTTTTTCTCCTCCAAAATTTATTTCCCTGTAATATATTTGTTGAATAGCATCTACAGACCCTAATCTTTCCGATTACTTCTTATACTTTTATTGCTTCTATCCTCGTATATAATTATCGACTTAATCCGTGTTTTTAGCGAGTTAGTTTACTATGGGATGGGGTCGCTAACCCCATGTCTAACCCTCTTCCTTTATCCGGGCTTGGGACCGGCAGTAACCCAAGAGGGGCTCTAGGCAGAGTTCATTAGTGAATAACGGAATGAAATACGAGAATGAATTCCCGAATACACATATTTTGTATAGTTATTGATCTGTGCAGGCAATCAGAGGGACGAATCGAAGGAAGCAATGAGAAGAAAGTGAAGTGAAACGGCACACAGTGGAGAAGGACTGTAAGCAAACCTGTTTTAATCAGGCGTTAATCGATATTTATAGTCGGATAGAAATCAGTTACAAATATGCGATGAGTAAGATAATGAATGCACACACATATGCGCTCATATAAAAAGCAGTCAAGATTGGATAAGTGAATAATTAACAAGATCAAAAAAAGATGGTTGAGTAGATTGCCCTGTCCGGAAGCTAGAATAAGTTATATGGGCTTAACATAGTAACCGACACTACAATAATAATATGGTTATGCAATCAGAATATATACAATAACAGTCCATTTGATGGTGGTTGGAGGTATTCGACTGGAAACCCTGGACCCCAGTTTCGTGCTACTTCGCACTCATCAGCAAGGTGTACCTCTAATCTCGAGGGAACTGGTGCTACCTGACGGATTCTGTCCCGTGTCACCCAGCTTCACAGTCAGAGACGTTACCACTGAGCTATCCGAGCCGCGACCGACCTCCTGTAGGACTGAGATGTAATCACAATTGATTGGTCAGTGGGTGGTGATCAATGTCATGTGTGTCAAGTCCTTATTTAGTGCAGATTGATTGTCGACTACCTCCAACCACCATCTAATCTCAATATATAATGCACGCAGTATCGAGTCACCTAGACTGTTGGCCACATTGCAACATGGTCGATAGCCTTCGATCTGCACTAAATATTGATCACCATCCAGTGATCAATCAATTGTTATAACAGTCCATTCTAACAATTACCATTCACTTCTTCTCTATCCGGATATAACACTTTGTTCTTAAACAAGAGCAATACATACTACTGAAATTACTATCTTCATTTGAATTAGGTCATCGTATTTAGCATTTCTATTTATGAATACAAGAGGTATTTTGTTCATTTTTTTCTTTTCTTTTTCTTCTCTCTGAATTGGTTTATGTAATCTAGGCATTTTATGTATTTTGATTAATGACTATCGAAATGGTATTACAATTAATTACTATATAATTATTACATAATCTAGGTTATTCCTTTAATATATGAATGTCTATAATCAAATGACCTATGGTAATAACTATCTTTATTTCATAATTAATAAGTAGTTATAACTGAACAGTATTCACAGTAAGAAGGATCCATGTTCTAATAAAATTGGATAGTAACTAGAAATGGAATCCAAAGAAAAAAGTGAGAGAGAAAACATGTGTTTTTATCCTAGTTAGAACTTATGAATTGAATATACTTCTGCTTTAGTGTTGGTTTCCATACACTGAGGATCAGACCTAGAACATTTCACTTAAACTTCCGATGTGTTATACACTAAACTGTAGAAAACAGATAATCATAAGATTTTTGATTGAGATCATGAATCGATTGATGTTAGATAACCATTGAAAACCTGGAAGTACTAGATGACCATTTCATCCTAGTATGAGACTCTTCAACAATCCAAACCCAGTACTTTTGGTCTCGCGCGCGAACGCTTAACCTCTAGATCAATGGACCGGCCGACATCCAACAGTGTTAATGTTTATGTCCAACCAATCCACGAAATTGTGCAACTATCTTTCATACTAAGACGAAATGGTCATTTAGTGATTCTAGCTTTTTAGTGGTGGTCTAACAGTGATCTGTTCGTGATACCAATCAAAAACTCACTAATCACACAATGCCATAACTGATAATCATAAAATTGTCTATTGAGAATGAATATTACTTTTCAAAGTTTGAATGATCCCATTATTGATATAAAAAACTTTAATTGACCAGTTTGTTTTGTCATATGTGGATCGTGAGCGGATCATTTCCCTTAGTGGCTAGTAGTAGAATTCAAAACATGTGTTTCATCCCAAATTCACTTACTGTTCTTTGCTTGTATCTTCCCATTGTTGTTTAGGATTGCAACTGATCCGTCTCTTATTGGCATATCTGCATCCTGTGCAGACTGCCTCGATATTACCTGA